ACTCCCCCGCAGTGGGATGGGGGAGAGAATTGGAAGGGTAAAAGTGAGAAAACTCATGGGTTGGGATAAAGACAGTTTAATAATTGAAATAAAATAAAATAAAATAGTAATAATAATAAAAGACTATACAAAGCAAGTGATGCACAATGCAATTGCTCACCACCCGCCAACCGATGCCCAGCCAGTCCCCGAGCAGCAGCCCCCCCAGCCAGCTTTCCCCAGCTTTATATACTGAGCATGACGTCCCATGGTATGGAATATCCCTTTGGCCAGTTTGGGTCAGCTGTCCTGGCTGTGCCCCCTCCCAGCTTCTCTCTGGCAGGGCATGAGGAGCTGAAAAGTCTTTGACTAGTGTAAGCACTGTTTAGCGACAACTAAAACATCGGTGTGTTATCAACATTATTCTCAATCTAAATCCAAAGCACAGCACTGTACCAGCTACTAGGAAGAAAATTAACTCTGTCCCAGCTGAAACCAGGATACTGTGATAGATTACCTGGACCTTCTAAGTTACCAGGATCATAGTGACAGAGGGGTCACCCACAAGCTGTATGAATCTGCTGCTTGTATATCATTTGCCTTTCCTTTCAGATGTTACAGTGTTGCAGGCTGGCACCTATTTTCTGTACATAGAACTAGACCAGTGACTCGGGTCAGAAGTAACAGTTCAAATACAATAGATAGATCTTTATGTAATTGAAAATAGTCTCTGTGGCTTCCATGCATTTCCGTCGATGCTATGTTTCATTTCTGTGAGGCATTTTTGAAGTTGTAGGCTTTCTCATTCACTGGTAATAATCCACAGGCAGGAAGAGCTAAAAGAATGAAAAGTTGTGAGACAGCAGTGTCCCTGGTACCCAGCATCTTATTATTACACACTTTTGTCTCCTGTTCTGCCCCTCACCTCTGCAAAACAAGATGAAAAAAACCCCTTAAGCAGAGCACACCTCTTCTCTTCCCCTTTTTCCTTCACTTCTAAAACACCCCCACTTCCAGAGAAGAGGAGATCCCGTTGACATGGCTTTTGGGAAGGCTACCCTAAAGCTGTGCACTTTCTCCTACTGGGCACTGCTCAGCAGGGGAGGTGGTTCTCAGCTTTGAGCAGTAGTAACGGGGTGGGAGGAGGTTGGTTATAGCGGGGGATGAGAAGCACGCATTTGCGTAGGCTCCTTTTCCCTGCCACTCCTCCGCTCTCCAGCCAGCGCAGGTTTATTTTAGCCTTGGCCTTCTGAAGCAGGATTAATTTTCCCCTGAATAGGTCAGCCTGGGACAGAGCCAGGATCCATGGCCTTCCATAGCTGGGGTGACTTGGGAAGCCGGACATACCTACTTAGACAGGGCCTCTAACTGCTGCGCCTGTGCGCAGTGCAAGAGAAGTATCCTGGAATAACCTTTCGGATAAACAGCAGAAAAATCCGTACGGGGTCTTTTTTCAGAGGCTGGTGTCAGGCTGAACCAGGCTGTAGTGCTGCCCTCTGCTGTTGGCATTCGGGAAAAACGTGAAAGTCGGTGATAAAATCCAGCAAAACGTTAACAAAATGTAACTGGGAAAGCAGCAGTATGTGAATACGTGAATTATTTCATCCTCTCACTTCGTACAGTGCTTCAGCCAGTTGAGATGTGCCCTCATATCTTCACTAGCAGTTCTGTTCGTAGCAACAGAATATAGCTAATAGTTCTGTTGTTTTTTAGCACTGGTAGTATTCTCATGGCTGTGCAAAGCATCTTGTGACACAGAAATCATACCTTCTGGCATGCTTGTTTGTGTTTCAGTGTGCAGGGGAGATGCAGAGGAAGGAATTTCCATCAGTAATTCAGATTATTGTAACTTTGTTATTTTTCTTCTTCTTATATAGAATTATTAAATTCCTTATTTACAAGTACTTGAGATAAAGTTGTGGAGAAAGTTACAGCCATCCAAAATTACTCTTTTTTAAAGTACAGGATGCATAGAGGTGTCTAGGACTTTTTTTCCATAGCTAATCTGTGAGCCAACGTGGAAGCAAGATGGAGGTAATCCGATATTTCCATCGGAACTAGAGGGAAGTGCCATTGAGGGGCATTTCCTAGCCCTAATGCAGTGCACCCCTGCTAGACTTGGAGTATGCACAGCCCTGAACCCTTGCACACCTGCAGATGTCCCTGGCAGCTGTGAGAGCTGTGTTTAGGGCTCTGTTCTGGAACGTAACAGCCGCATCTGGGCTGATTTCATGGCCCTACTGAAGTAAATGGGCTTGTGGTATATGATTCAGGAAAACCACTGCTTCACTTCGCAAAACATGTTATAATGTTAAGCCTTGATGCTCATCTTAATGTTCATATCTTTAAATGTGATATTCGTGTTTCAGTTTTTGATACTGGTTTTAAAATCCTTGCCTTCAATTTCTTTGCCTCAGACATACTGCCCCGACTGTGTGGGGTTTTGATTTAGCTATCAGCGTGCCTTAGAGAACACAACTGATGGCTCCCTTTCAAAGAAAAGAAACTTCTGACTTTCTGACTAGTACAAAAAAAAAAAAAATCTAACAAATCTAAATAAAGGCAGAACTGATCAATAACTCTGCTGGATTTGGCTGGGATAGAGCTAATTTTCTTCATAGTAGCTAGTATGAGGCTATGTTTTGGATTTGTGCTGAAAACAGTGTTGATAACACAGGGATGTTTTCGTTACTGCTGAGCAGGGCTTACACAGAGTCAAGGCACTGTTTCTGCTTCTCACACCACCCCACCAGCGAGCAGGCTGGGGGTGCACGAGAAGCTGGGAGGGGACACAGCCGGGACAGCTGACCCCAACTGACCAAAGGGATATTCCATACCATATGAGGTCATGCTCAGCATGTAAAGCTGGGGGAAGAAGAAGGGAGGGGGGGGACGCTTGGAGTGATGGTGTTTGTCTTCCCAAGTAACCGTTATGCGTGATGGAGCCCTGCTTTCCTGGAGATGGCTGAACACCTGCCTGCCGATGGGAAGTAGTGAAGGAATTCCTTGCTTTGCTTTGCTTGCGTGCGCGGCTTTTGCTTTACCTATTAAACTGTCTTTATCTCAACCCACGAGTTTTCTCACTTTTACCCTTCCGATTCTCTCCCCCATCCCACTAGGGGGGGGTGAGCGAGCGGCTGTGTGGTGCTTAGTTGCTGGCTGGGGTTAAACCATGACAGTAACCCAGTGACTCAACTAATGTTGTACAGTGATAAATAAAAACAACTGTAGTCATTAACTCTGTCAGCGATTCAACAAATTGTTGTACGGTGTGCAGAGGTTTGCGGTGACTTGTTTATGCAGGCAGTTCATGAATGATAAAATAAATCAAACTTTCTATCAAAATATGTGAGTTAATTAATGATTTTTCGAAGTGTGATTTCACTTTGTGAAGTGGCTGCAACAGTGGAGCTATGAGGCTGTTCATTGGCTCCCCCTGCCTTCAGGAGTGAATATTTTTATTTTTGTTAGGGAAAACCTTTTCTAACATTCAGGCCGGCAACCTCAAGCTGAGCTTTAAAGGTGAGGACTTTTGTGCTTGTGTTGTAAACAATAATCAGATCATAACTCTGGGCCCATTTGGGGGAAGACAATGAACCAGTAGAAGTGCCTGTTTAACCTTCCTTTCCACTTGGTTTGCTCTTCATTTTTTGAATCATTTGGCTTCATTTCCCAGGCTCCCAATAGCAGAAGAGAGAGGAGAGAGACTATACCATTGCCTAGCTGGGATGCTGATTTGCACAAGCAATACTCATACCTCAGCCAGGGTGGCAGGAGGACCTGGTTGACTAGAAGTGATCATACTGTTCTCTGCATAGCCCAGGTTTTTGGTTGGCTAGTATTTGATTCCACCACATCAGCATTTGCAGCAGAAAACAATTCTAATGGAAGATAAAAAACAGATCAGTTTTACTTGTAGTCTCAGAACTTGAGGATATGGGTTGAAAAAAGTGGGAACGGGTAAAATCTGATTATGTCTTTTCTTTCACAGATTTCACAGCGAAATGGGAGATGGGAGAATCAGTCCAGCATCTGGTGTGACTGCAGTTGAAGCCAAGTTGGCAAACTTGGTTCAGTCTGATTTCATTTCACTCTTGGCCACGTTCTAGTAAGCATCGGTCCAATCACATTTATTTTGTTTAATTTGTGAGCCCTTTGTGAGTGTAAACTGCTGAAGTCTGTGAAATTCAAAACACTGAAAAATCACCTGTGATAGAAGAGAAGGCTCTTTTTCCAAAGATAATAGTCTTTGGACAGGATCCCACAATTTGATGCTACCGCATGGGCACCTTCTGAGATGTGTCAAAAAATCATGCATTAGAAATGTCTGTATGTCTCCATTATAGTTAGCTAGTTGACATGTAGATAAGGACTCTGTGAATATCTGCATTGAGACAGGTGAATTGCACACCAATTTCCTGCCTGCACCAATCCTGCAGTGTGAAAGGAGAGTTGCTGAGAATTCGTGGGCTCCATTGTATGGAAAGTGGCAGCATCACCAAGTTCATTTCAGGAAGGGACATTTGCACATACTTGCAAAGACAATCAGCCTTCTTTCATTGGCTTTTATGGATCCTAGGTATTTGGACACTAGGGTGATCTTCCGGATTTTTCTTTTTTCCTTTTTTTTTTGTTACTGTGAGTTGCTCTGCAGAGCCTCATCCATCAGCGTGCTCTCAGTCCCTTACAGAGGCAGACAAACCACAAGCAGTGATCGATGGAGAAATCTTCAGTCCTCTTCACCTTTGCACTCCTCCTGCAATATGAAGCTGACAGATAAATGGTTTAAGGAGCGAGGTGGAAATATCCCTTGTGGAAGAGAGTCCCTGGTAGCTTAGAAACCTTGACATCTGGCTAACTGTCAGCTGGTGGGTGTCTGGCATGCTCCATTCACTGCTTACTTCGGCCCCTTTGTCACTGGAATGGTGGGGCTGCTGGACCCCAGAATGATGCCTGCTCTCGTCTTTGCAGAATGCTGTGTCTGCCCTGCAGTTGGGTTTGCCAGTCTTAGCAAAAATTGAGTGTGGATCTCATGCTGTGTATTTTTTGCTAATGCTTCTTAACTGGAGACCGGAGTGTTTCTCAGGGCAGTAGCCTTTATTCTGGAGGAGTTCTGGTCACAGAGGACCAGTTCAGAAGTAAATGTTTAGTTTGAAACGTGCCAGCAAAGTGTCCTAAATGATTCGCTACTGTGTTCAGTTGGTTGTTTGAGACCTCTGATATGTTGTTTATATAAGGCAGTATTTTTGTAAACTCTGTTAAGTCTTATGCCATTCCTGTACAGTGTGGGCTGGAGCTGTATACTGGAGGGGGAAGGGAGACAATTTTCCACTTACCATATAGGGTAGGCAACATATTTGAAATGGAATTGGACCCTTTCTCCAAGCGATGCAATCTCTGGTTAAAATAGGTCAATCCTTTCACTAACCTAGGGCTCGTTTGTTTTCAATGTGTATGAAATTGTGTTTTCTTAGTATTGTTTTGTCTTTTTTACATTTTTCTCAAAAAAACTGACAAATTTAAGAGAAAGGTCATTAGTCAGCAGGAGTTTCAGGCAGCAACTGAGTGCAAGTAAGAATGATTTTCTTCATCCAGAACCATCTAGCTGTGGGGAGATAGAATTTTAACTTCCTAGGAGTGTTTCCTTAAGCACCCTTTTTCACAGTGCCTGCAGCTGAGTGCATTCAGGGCACACGTGTTGTGTTTCTGTATAAGGGAAACTATGTGAAGTAACCAGATCATTTAAGGGGCAGGGAAATAATGGATTTTCTAGTTGATTTTTCATTTTCAAGCCACAGCTGGATGATCCTCTGCCACCTCCCCATCCTCAGTGTGCCCAACATACTGATGTTCTGAAGACTGAAAATCTGACAAGCTTTTCATTATTCTTAGAATGATTATTCCTGCATGTCCCGGTCAGTCACGTTAGAGATTCTTGTCCTTTGTCCAGGGCAGTGTGGTATCTGTAGCTTCAAATGATTGTACAGGTCACTAAATATTCTATATCTTTAAGGGGAATATTGCATGATTACTTGGTTTTATTTGCACTTCATTCTGAATAGTTACAGAGAGCAGTTCACCCCTACTACCAAGTAAGCAAGGCAGAGACACCTCTGAAGCTTCAAGAGTTGTCTGCCTGGGTACACATTTCTTGCCATCCGTCTCTAACAGGGAGATCTCAACACTGTTCAGGAATGAGTTTGACAGCTCCTGGTAATGCTTTGATTGCAGTCTGTCTGAATGCGTGGAGGCATCAGCTTCGTGGTGGTTATTAGTTCACCTACTTCTATTGCTTCAGCACAGATTTTCTTCCTCCTCAGCACTTTCCTGTAGGTCAGATTTATTTCAGATACGGAGTCAGTGTTTTCACAGCAACAGATACCTTTACATAAAGGCCCTCCTAATCCTTTCAGATAGAAGCCCAGCTGCACCCAACTTCTGTTTTTTCTGGCCATGGTAGACCTGTGGATGGCTTGCACTGAGTGTCCAGGATTCTTTATCTGTTTCACCCATTTCACTAGTGAGCATTTCTGGGTGTTGTCCTGGATAGTGGGGTGTCGCTCTGAGCTGGAAAGTAACAGGTGATGGTTGGAGGAGATCCCACTTCCTGCTACCACAGATATAACCCAAGTCTCTGGGGGATGTGAAGCTGTCCTGTCAAACAGCTTAGAAACTGGTGTTCACAGAGAGCTTTCTTCTGTGTTCGCCTCTGGGAATAGATTCTTTTTTTGCGTTGCTTATTTATGGCTGGGAACAGCAGGCTCTGCTGCTCCTCCTACAGTCTCCTTTCCACAAGGAAATAACAGCCGTCTTGGTTGTCACCAGTAGCTACAATTCTTCACTTTCTGCCTCACTTTTTCTTTGGGTGTATTTAAGACCTCCTTGTCTTGGAGGTGCCATTTCAGTACATTGTTGCATTATCAACGGAGCAAAAGACTAGAGTTGGACCATCAGCTCTGAAATGTCTGTCTGTAGCATCTGCTATGAAAAGCTAATTGGATGGATGTGATGGGTTGGTTCTGGCCAGCAGCTAAGTACCCACGCAGCCGCTCGCTCACTCTCCCCCAGGTGGGACAAGGGAGAGAATAGGAAGAGCAAAGGTGAGAAAACTCTTGGGTTGAGATAAAGATGTTTAGTAAGTGAAGGGAAAAATACAAAGTGATGCAAAGGCAATCACTCATCATCTCCCACAAGCAGACTGATGCCCGGCCAGTCTCCAAGCAACAGCTACAATGGCTACCTTGGAAGACAACCCCACTCCCAATTTTTATTGCTGAGCATGATATTATATGGTATGGAATAACCCTTTGGCCAGTTTGGGTCAGCTGTCCTGGCTCTGTCCCCTCCCATCTTCTTGTGCCCACCCTCCCCAGCCTACACACTGGAGGGGGGTGGCGTGAGAAAAAGAGAAAGCTTTGATGCTATGCAAGCACTGTTCAGCAATAGCCAAAAGATGTGTGTTATCAACAGTGTTTTAGTCACAAATCCAAAACACAGCAGCATATGGGCTGCTATGAAGTTAACTCAATTCCAGCCAGACCTGGTGCAACAGAGCTGCTTAACACTGATGCATAGTAGATCAGAAATTCAGGGTACAGTTTCATAGTTGGTGTAAGGATCCTGATGACTCAATGGCAGCTCTCAGCTCCTTCTCCCTTCCCATCACGTTTCCTATCTCCTCTCATGTCAGCACTAGCAATCTTGCAGCCTTGCAAAAACTGAGTTTTCATCACGTTTTCAATAGTGAATCGAAGCTGTTATGTAGGTGGGAGGCTGGGAATGTCTGGCTGGGGCTGGGGAAAATGACAGAAGTGACCTTTCTGGAATAGACGTGTCAGTCTGTGACATAGCTGGGTGGTTGTTATACTGTGGTTGTATTTCATCATTCTTATATACCCCTAATTAATCTCCCCCACCTCCACTTATTTCCTTCCAAATGACTACTATCACCATGTGGTCTGTAACTCTGACTTCAGCTTTAGAGCAATTAGCTAGAGAAAACTGTATACGAAAAAAGTATCCAATGGTTTGGTTCTCTGAAGCTGTGATGCATGGACCTCTCATTAACAGTTAACTAGAAAAAGGAACTTAATATTTAAGGTATGCTACAGAACTAGATATGAAAGTTGCTCACATATTATGTATTTCAACGCAATACGGATAGAGGAGATATTAATTTTTTATTTTGTGTGTTTTTTCTTAGTGGCTCTCTACATAGGTCTTTAGAATGTGATATACAGAGTACAAGGTTTTGCAACTTTTTTCAGTTAAATCTGAAACACGTACAACAATGTTGGGAGGGTTTCCATATGAAGTTCCTCTTCTGAAAAAATCGAAGTGGTATTTTTGGAATGTCCTTGCCACTAGATGGCAGGGCGCCCTTTGGATAAAGGAAGCACTAAAGAGGCTGTGTTCAACACTAATTTGCTCTCAGCCTGGCCAATCTCTCATTGAGCTTATCAAGAGTTTTGCTGGAGTGAGGAGCGGGTGGAGTGCTGGAGAGAACTGTAATTATGTTATGACCCTTCAACAGCACTGGCATGCAGTTTTAAATTTTCTCCAGTACGATAGATATCTTAATTGAATTCCACAGAGCTTGACATAGTAAGATAGTAAAGAAAAGCTGTGTCTTAACCACAATTAAACCACAAGTCAGCGCTGGTGAATTTGTTGGAGAAATCTCTGCCTCTTGTACACGTGCTGCGTTTGCTGTGCCAAGTTCTGAAGTACTCAATCAGTCCTTGAAGTGAATTGCAAAGAGGAGACTGGCCCAAGTCGTGACCTTGGAATCTGGCTTTAAAACGTTTGGACTGGCAGTTTGCTGCAGGTGGAAGATCCAGTTAGCATTTAGAAGTTAAGAGCTCTAATTTTCACTCTCCCACACCAATTTCATCTTAGTGTAATCCTAAAAAATTCAACTGAATGAAACTTGTGTAATGGTGCTAAGAAACAGGATGCTTATGTTTAGGCTGGAGTTGTTATAGTCATCAGAATATTAAGATGAGGAAGTTGTGGGATTTACTGATCCAAAATATATAGGTGCATCAGGGCAAAATGGGTGTAACACCCCTCCATTCTCACATGGAGCATTACGCATTGGCAAATGGA